CTTGGAAACTATCCCTTACCCTTAGCCTCAAACGGTTCTCGAACCATGAGCGTCGTCGGGTTACCGGCACAATTGATCACCTTGTGCAGCTTATCAGCTCTCTCCAGCTTCAATCTGCCCTTTCCCCATTGGACCCTGTGGCAGCCGCTCAACTCCTCAAAGCCCGCCAGCAACTCACGAGATACGAGACATCTAAGATCGCCGAGCTCGCTCTTAAGGCTAAGCTCAAGGTCGAGGGCCATAGGGAGATGGGGATTTCCTCCCTTCTGGCGGGCCTCAATTCCCGCATTAAAGACTCTTTAATCACCTCTCTTACGCTACCTGACGGTCAGACCACCTCTGACCTTCGAACCATGACCGCGGAATGTACTAGGTTCTTCCAATCTCTCTACTGCGGAACAACCCCGGGAGTGTCAAATCCCTCGTTCTGGGCACATGTTCCCCCCTCCTCACTACCTCCCAGACTCTCCAACCACCTACAAGCCCCCTTTACACTCTTGGAAATTAGCAAAGCCATTGGGCAACTTTCTCGTGGCAAAACCCCTGGCCCTGATGGCCTTCCGGGTGAGCTTTTCCGACATCACAAGACCCGTTTTGCTCCTGCTTTCCAGTCACTCCTCTCTTCACCTCTGATTTCTGCAGCCCTCCCCCCATCAATGCTCTCCGGCCGCACCGTCCTAATCCCTAAAAGAGGTGACTCGTCCCTGGTTGAGAATCTTCGGCCCATCACCCTTATGAACTCGGACTATAAGGTGCTGGCAATCTGCCTCGCTAATCGGATGCAACTTGTACTTCCTACGATAATACACTCCTCCCAGACTGCTTTTATTAAAAATAGGAAAATTGGCGATACGATTAACGATACCCTCGATATTTTCGACTGGAGTACTACTACCCGGTCCCCCCTTCTTGCTCTTACTGTCGACTTCCGCAAAGCTTATGATATGGTCGACCGTGCCTTCCTATTCCGAGCGCTCGCCGTTTTGGGATTTCCTGAACAGTTTATCGCTTGGGTCCGCCTCATGCACACTAACACCTCCACCTGCATCTCTGTCAACAACTTTACTGGGCCTTCCTTCCCCGTTCGCACAGGGGTCCGACAAGGATGCCCTCTTGCCCCCCTTCTTTTTGTCGGTGTCATCGAAATCCTTCAGCGCTACCTATCCCTCTTCCTCCCAGGGTTCCCCCTCTCCGCGACGCAACGTCGGCTTATGGCATGCTACGCTGACGATGTCACTATTTTTCTCTCATCCGTCAGAGAACTCGGGACCACCCTCATACACCTTCGGGCTTTTGCCGCCGTCTCTGGCGAGCATCCCAATTGGAATAAATGCTCAATCATCCCCTTCTTCATCGACCCAGCACATATTCTCCTCGCTGGCCCCATTCCCATTCATACCCCCCAAGAAGCAGAGCGTATTCTAGGAATTTATATCGAACGAGCAAATCCGGGTGCTACCACCTGGTCTACGACCCTTTCGCGCGTCCAACGTACGGCTAAGTTCCTTGCAGCCCTACGTGCTACCGCCACCTGCCGCAAGACACTTGCATCGGTGTTCCTTAACTCCGTACTCTCTTTCCCTGGTCGATTCCAACCCCCCACCCCCGACGTCATAAAACGGCTCGATGTCACGGTCGGGAACTTCCTCTCCTCTTCTAGATTCAAGGAACACGGCATAGGGGTACGCCTCATCCCCAATCGCCTCCTGTACAACTCCATTCATCACGGTGGACTCGGGGCAATTGCACCCTCCACTCAAATTCGCGCCCTCGCCGCCCAGCGTGCGTTGCGTCGTTTCGGTGTTTCACCGTCTGAGGAGGTGGCGAGAACTGCCGACTGCCTTCCTTTTGGCACCCATTGTTTTCTAGCACACCCCGCCATCCTCCAATCGGGTATTCTTCCAGCGGACACTCCGAGCCGATCGCTTGCCGAACTTCAGGCATTGATTGACATTTCTCCTGACATTTCCCCTCCTCGACTTAATCCAATGTGCATAATGGCCGAACCCACTGCCTTTAACCGATTCATTCTCAAACCAAATAGAAAGCCCTTTGGAATTCTTTCACGTGAACGATTTCTCCTATCCTCGCAAGTTCGTGTCGGCAATTTAGTATCACTCACTTTCTACTCACTTGGTCTGGTCTCTTTTAAAGATTTCATATCATCGTGCTCCTCCTCTAACACCTCCTCTGGACGACGAGTCTGGCGGGAACTTATACGTGCCATCCCCAGGACCTGGTGGGTGGCTCTTCGCTCCCCCCCTCCCCCTATAGTAGCCCCTGGGGAATGGTTCGTTCCCACACAAGATGCTGACTCTTCCCCAACACTCGCTCTCCAGGTTACCTCATTTTCCCCTCCATTTTCACTCTCTGCCACCCTCCACCGTATCCTCCCCAACCGTTTCATTGTCCGTTCATCCTTCGGCACTGGCACCTTCCGCATAGGTGCCCTCACAGCGGTCTACGTCGTCGGATCCTGGCTTGCAGGTCCGTACTATACAGGTGCAGGTCTCGGCGCGCGGCTCGACATCTTGCAAGACGGGTGTCCCAGTGTAGCTGAGCTTCGCCGTCGCCTCTACACCCAGCTGCCCTTCGACCATGACGTTCGTTGGATCCGCGCCCTCCCCTCTCCTCCTCCTCTCATCCCGAACTACTCCCATGATTTTTTACGAGAACAACCTAGCCTACAACGCGACATCATGTACCGGTTCTACACTCGTGCTCTTCCCTCGGGTTCTCGTTTCCCTTTTGCTGCTGATCGAGGGACATGCCAACTCTGTCCTTCTGCTCCCACTGAGACTATCTCCCACATCTTCTACGACTGCGGGGTGGCTCCTGCGGTGATTTCTGCCCTCTCATCTGTTGCTCGCCGCCACCTCCACTGCTCTCCTCCTCCCGAACTCTTGCTCTTTCCGCTCGCCTCGAGGGCCGGCCAGGTGGCTCCTTGGAGCCTTCTGGTAGGTGCCTCCGCAAAGGCTATTTGGAGCGCGCGCTGT